CCATAGATATTTTTAGAAATTTACATGAAAAAACTTAATATAAATGTTTTTAAACTATATAATATGATTTGTTTCTAAAGTAAATTAATAATTTCATAAATAGTAATATAAAATCAAATCAAAAAGAATAAAGAAAGAAATCTACAAGACACATTTTTATTCATTTATGACCGGTCTTGGTATCAATAAAAGGGTAAAGCTCAAATCTAAAATTGCAGCTCCTACCCAAAACTCTTGCTCCTTGTTTACCGCGCATGCAATTTTGAAAATGCAAGAAATTGTATACGTAACACTCCTCACAAGCTTTACGTGCTATATCTCCCGTACATTGCACCATTCCATACATGTTCTTCGTTCCAAGCCTTTCCTCCCCCACAGCGTATCCCTAGTTATTTTTTGAGGCTTTCATTGCTAGATCTTCGAGGAAACGCACCCACATCCACTCTTTATTGTCGCTCACATTCTTCGCGTTGGACATACAAAAGTTGTTATCGTAATCGATCTTCTGTAATGATTCGACCGCATTAAACTCGAGGAAACATTGGTCGTACCATATTATTCCTCCTTTGTTTCTCGGACATCTCCTTTGAAGCTGTCACATTCATTTTTGTGCATATAGACATCACAATCAAAAACAATTATAATCAATAACATTTTGCTCATAGTATTTATTTATCGCTCTAATGTAAAAAAATTGACATCTAAACAATAATTTTGAAGTAAAGTTACCCCGGAGACAGCGGTTGCATAGCAAGAGCGGCATTTAGGGCCTAAGGAATCGCCGCGGCACTGGTGGATGACAGATGAGAAATCAGGATCTTTACCGAAGGCCATGTATTCGAAACCTCTGCTAAAATTACTGTACATAGGGATGGAACCGATTATCTTATTGAGGTCTTTCTCGTCCTCGCTTCCCGGCTTGTACTTTCCTTGAGTGACGTAGCATTTGTGGTGCAAATATGCATTGGTCATGTTCAAGCACGAGACGTTGTGTATAAAGAGAAGTTGTATGGCCACCAGGGCCAAGATAGGGACCAGAACAAGGCGTTTTGATACAGACGATGAAGAGTAGTACATTGTTCTAGATTTTTATTTGTTTCTATAAAAAGGGAAGTGTTTCTTTATAGATTATGTAGAAGACTCGGTTATTGAATGGAGATTAATTACTTTACTTATTTATAGTTTTTGGTTATCTTATACGGACAGGAGTGAGGAGATGGGAGCTGAGACTTGGTTACAATCACACGATTGGTATGGTGCCAAAGCTGAAATCATGGAAATGTTAATTTCTATAATTACAAGATGCTGTCTTTTTTTTTTTGCTAAAATATGATCGAATTTCCAAGTTTCTATAATTACAAGATTCTCTCTTTTTTTCCTCAAATATGATAAGATTCCAACTTTTATAGTTTCATATATACAATTACAATTTTACATAATAAAAAAACTTGTCATCTACTCTCAATGTTATAGGTTTTGTGTATTTCTAGTAACATATATATAAGAAAAAAACAATATTGTTCTTTACTTTAAAGCAAGATCCTGAGATACTGAGATGCAAAACTGAAACAATTTAGCGAGGATAACTTTAATTACAAGAGAAGAGAAGCCATACCAGTTAAACATTCTTGCATATTATACAAAGACGGCCAAACTGATTGAGAACAAAATATTGTCAGAATGTCGAGTGGCCCCGGATACTACCACAAGATTATGAATTGTGTTGGCTTAAGAAGAAGAAGACTGTATCATAACCAAAACTCGAAAGTCAGATTGTATGATCAAAGCCTGAAAATACCACCATCAGTGGATAGGAAGATCTTAAGACCTGTGGGGTTTTTGATAATTATTTTTTTCAAAACGACAAGAGAAACTACCTTAGTCGTAATTTCTCAGGTCGTCGGATCCCACTAGAAGCTCGTGACAAAAGCGTGAGTTATTTGGTTCTCACAATGTAGTTATACCATGTACATGGTAACCGAATATGTCCAAAACTGAAGTTACCATGTAGTGCACCATTTGCTTTTAAGCAAGAGCCATGGGATTTTATCTACACTTTTTGGTTTACCAACACCCTGTTGAAAACAGTTAGGAAAGCGAGAGACGATCAAAGTAGGGAGACTCGAATCGATCTCGAATCCACCTCGATCGATGAACACAAAAGCTCGAGTTGACTTAGGAGAGTACCATAGACGAACGTATGAGCTACAACGGAGCCAGGAATCGTGAGTGGAAGCTATAGAGAAGAGCAAGTGACGGCGACGAGTGGAAGATAAGCCAAAGGAGTGAGCAAGAGATGTTGGATTTTTGTGGTTTAGGACAAAGAACGTGAAAGCTTTTGAGAATATCAATAAGAAAAGTTGAGATTAGAATTCCAAAAACTCGTATATTAATTCTGATAATATTGTTCTCATATGGGCACACATATAAATAGCTATAGCTTAACATGATAAAAGTCAAATTACCAATTCTAAAGAAAACATATTATCTATTCCCTATTTCTATCGTATAGAAACGTTTTTCCTTTTTATGTTTCACGTGCTTGGCACATGGGTCTAATTAAATTCATCTTCTTCTTAAAGCTGTCCACGTATGATTTGAATCAACCAATAGTCTTATGCAATGTAAGCTTTTTGAAAAAATAAAAAATTAACCAAAACAATTTAGTAACGTCAAAGAATTTGGGAAAAATGCTAAATCAATCAATATATAACATAATTTTTTTATTTCCTCTTTATAGATAATTCCTTATTTTCTCAATATTTAATTTTCTAATATCATGTTTCTTTCAAAAATAAAATAGATACATATACAAAGAAGAGATATTATTTAAAAAAAATAATTAATATATTATTTATTTTCGTTTTCTTCTAACTTCCCTTTTTAAAAAATCTTTTCTTTTTCTTATTCATTTATGAAAATATATGTATTTTGGAAAA